GGCTCAATAGTTAATTAAAATGTTTTGATTATTCACAAGTAACTCAATAATGTAAATAAAACAAAACAAATTTTTATTTTTACATGGAAATTTTTATATTTTTAATAAAAAATAACATTTATTTCGAAACAATATTTTGCTTAGAAAAAAAATAATATTTGTTTCGAAGCAATGCCATAAAGAAATAACTCTTTTTTTAAAAAAAAATGTTTATCGGAAAAAATAACTGTTTCGTGAAGTAATGTCTGATAAAAACAATCCACCATGGGAAGAAGTAATTTTTTTATTTATCCCATAATGGGGGCATAGAGTTCAAATAAATTTTTCTACTGTACCCATAATGGGGAACGTAGTCTCCGATATGAGAATGAGGCTTAATGATAAATACTGCCAAGTCAACAAGTAGTAATTTTCTAAAACACAACCTATTGTACTGAACGGCCAAAATATGTTTTAAAATGCAATAAAATCCATTTTTTTTTATATATTAGGTAATGGAACCACATGGGCGGGCACCTATTATACAATCCCCCAGGATGGAACCATCATGTTGACGTCAGGAAAAAAATATAACCCTTGCTGGACTTATACTCAGAACCATCTAATAATAAGCAATACTCTTATCGACTATGCCACAGAAGCTTTCTGAAAAATACGATTTACAAAGCGACATTTTATTCGGGTAGTTCTTCAATAAGAAATACGCCGATAATTAATTTTAAGTGTTATTGATTTGGGCAATTTTTAAAATAAATAGTTTTAAAATAATTTGGCAGTAGGATTGGCCAATAAAAATCTATTTGATTTAAATCACTTTTTCCTGGACTTGGACCAACCTGGTTGAAAATTTCGACGGGTCCAGAACCCTGATATAAACTTTATTTAAAATGGGCCTCAAGCCTAAAATTATGGAAAATTTACAAAAATTATTTTTAATATAGCTTTCAATAGATCAAAAAAAATATGGATATCAGTTATAAGTTTGGGAAAATTGAAGGAATGGCTTACTCAAAAATTATTAATACTATTTTTGAAGATACTGCTTTTGAGACACTTGTTGAAAATTGTAATATGCAAGTTTTAATTAATATTAAAATATAAATATTTAAAAATTATTTTCTAGTTTTTAAATTTGCTTATCAATGACATAATGAACAATACAAACTATAATTCCATAATGGGTCTATTTTTATATTTTATTTGCTAATTCATAAATTTTTTATATGATATTCTATAAAATATACTTGATAGCAAAGTTGAGCAGTATGGTGAATATTTGTATCTAAGATACAAGATCCTTTTGTATCTTGTACTCAGTATTTTTTATTTTTCATAAGATCAATATTTGTATTGAAAATCTTTATTCAGAAAAAAACCTTTTATCTTTTCATTTTCTTGACAAAAGTTACACATCACAGAATATAACCTTATTTTCTTCATGAAATCTTCTATTAATTTCCTATTTTTTCCCCCCATATTTTAAATAAATTGAGAACCTAAATCAACTTGAAAATTTACAACTCATATATAGATAGTAACTGAATAGAATATCATTAACAATTATATGTACTTCTTTTAAGAATAATTAACACTCATGGTAGTGAAAACAAGACAGTGAATTTATGGAAATAAATTGCCTTGGATCAAATATCCTTTTTAAAATCTAAATGTCAAACATGTAGAAACAAAAAAATGATAAAGGGTTCAATAAAATTTTGTTAAACATAGATAATTTTATGTTATAATCTAATTATATATTATTTTTATTAAAAATTAAAGGTGTAGGCTTATAAAGGAATATCAATTATATCTAAAAGAGCAGAGAAGAAAACCGCAAAGTCCACCACCATAAAAAGATGATTCAACCCAGAATATTAACTTCATTTAATCCTATTAATAAAATAAAACCAATAATTACACAAAATAAAATTGTTAAGTTGATATGGGCATTTATTGTCAAGGGTTTATACCCTTTGAGCCTAATTGAACAACCTGAATTTATTATTATCATGATTGTTATATAATTTAATAGATAAATATCAATATGATATTCCAGACATTCTTAGTAATGTTGGATTATTTAAAAAATTTAAGGAGGTTTTTAGAAAGAAGAATAGAGGGTTTGAATAAAATATATACTTGAAAAAATATTTTAAAGGCTCAGACATAATGGCAGATTTGTGATCTTGAAACTTATTATGGGAATAACAGCTCACTGGGTAATATATATTTTTTATATTTTTAATGATAACATGAGAAACCCATGAAAGGCAATCAAGAGGTAAAAGAACCTCTGGAACACATTCATTTGATAAAATTGCAGTTATCGGAAGTCTATAGAGTATGGGATTTCTTATAATGCTATTGTTACAGATAAGGTTTCCAATTTTGTCAAGTCATTAAATGAATATAGTGTAAAATTAAATGATCTTGAAAATGATTGTGGATGATCTACTAGAATTTAATGCAATAAATTATGGTTCAATGTTTACCTTTAGATTAAATAAACAAATAAATATTACCAAGCCCATAAGGTTTGCCCTGCCACACTTTATCTTTAATTGCCACCTTATATTTTCTTTCTGTAATACCAAACTCAAGGAATATTGGAAGAATTCATTATAGAGTAAGGAAAAATGTACAAAATATGGAATGTATGTGGAAAGCCAAAATCTTCTGAAAATATAGGGAAGATAACAGGTGGTAAGCATAACCAAGTGGAATAGCATTTATGATAGTATGACTTGATGCTGCTAAAATATAAATAACATCAAAATTTATTTTAAATATTGATTGTCCCATTTTTAAAGAAATGAATATTGTTTATATAGAGCAATATTGTAAGGTTTAAATCTATGGAGCAATTGCATTAGACAAACCACATGGGCAACAAAGTATATTTTATGGTGAATTAGTGCCCATAATATTTGTGGCTAAACAGGACTTAGATAACATTAAATATTAAGTTTGCAATATTGTCTACCTTTATTAAAAGCTGTCTAAGAGTAAGGGCAAAAGATTTAAAAAAATTGTTGCCTATGATGATGAATATAATGAGGTTTTTTGGCATCATTATTACATCCATATTTTAAAAACTTATAGATTGAATCAAATGATAAAAAATACTCAAAATATATTAATAAAAGAAGTTCTACAAGCTTAAACTATAACACCAATAGTTGTAACATCTACTAAGGAATTTAATTATTTTTCTTATAGTGAAACAAATGTTGTTTTATAATACAACTAACATTAGCTGGAGTTTTTATTATCTTAATAACTGTTTTAAATACTTAAGAAATGTATAATTATTATCCTTCCATTACAAAATTCATTCTTTTTTTATATTTGACATTTCATATAATATACTTGAAAGCCTATAATTAAAAGATATTGGTAAAAATACTAAACAACTAAATAAATACTGAACAATTTTAGTTATAATTAAGCTTTATTTGCTTCTCTATTTTAAAATACTGATAAAATTATTTATTTTTTGAAAATAAAAATGTTGAATAAATTTAATGCTCAGAAATATATAAATACCGCTGAAAGGATTAATTTTTTTGATAATAATACTACATATTTTGATATTACTGCAAAAAAACAGTTTTAGTTCAAAATCGTGAAGAACAAAACAGTTCAAAATTGGGAATTTTTATATCTCCTAGAAGATGTTTAAAATATTTTTGAAATTGATATTAATAGATGCTAGGGGAATATACACTTCTATTTAAATTGAGTTTTTAAAAAAAACTCTAAAAATGGGGAAAATATCATGTTTGTCCCCAATTAGCCCCCATATCTATTCTTTAAAATTTTCTAGGAGATAAGCAAGATTCCCAATTTTGTGATGTTCATTTGTGCTCTTACCAAAAAGATCATAGCCTATTTTAAATATATATTATAATAAATTAGGCAGTCTCTATCCAAATGAAAAATAAATAAAATACCAATTCACTAAACACTGCCTTTGTCTCTATCATAAAACCTGGGAATGAGAGATATTTTAAACCAGAAATTATTCCATTATGAAAATGTTATTTAAAACTTGACCAAAGATAAAAATGATAACAGAAAAAAAAATGCATGAAAAATAAGAAATTGACAAATATTTATAAAATCTAAATAGGGAATATTCCAATGGAAAATAGATTCCCTTATGTTTATATCTCTAAATACATGTGACTATAAACAAAAATTCCCCATTCATGAGTTAATATAGTAATGGAGCCCTTATTAGTGTTGATAAATGTCTTAATTTGAGAAGATTTTTAAAAATGGCTAACTCATTATTTTGGCCAGAAAAATGTTGCACCACAAGATTTCGCTAATAGTAGTCATCCAAACCTTTGTGTCATCTATAACCAATATCTACAGACTTGCTTAATATATTTCTGAATAAAATATTGAGTTAGCTGTTTTTAAAAATCGGCTCAAATTGAACTGTTTAACAACACTAGCTCTTATATAGAATAAGAAACTTTTACAAATCCTAAAAGATAGTAAAAAATTAATTTTTGAACTTAAATATTTTAAAATTATAAATCAAAATGTTTCTGACATGAAACATGTTTTAGGAAGAAATAATAGGGTGAGGTGGTCAAACTTTGTCTTTTTTTTCAACTATAATCATTTTTATGAAAGTTAAATATTATAGTTAGGTATTTCGTTTTAAAATAATTTATCTGATATTAAAAAAATTAATTAAATTTTAGAAAAATATAGCAAGATTATATAAAAATAATTCATAACAACTTGCAAGGTTCTTAAATAATAATAAACCAATTCATTATTTTTATAATTGTAAAAAAGTGAAATTAAATGAGCATATAGTATCTCTTAATTCACCAAAGTAAGCTTTTTGGAAAAAGAATTAAATTAATCCAATATTGATACAACTTTGTTAAATAAAAAGTATAGATTTTCTTTAAAAAATTCCATATTTAGCATTTTTTACACAAATAATAAAAATATATTTATAATAAAATTTATTGTACTTGATGTCCATGAACTAGCCCTATTCTAAACTTATTAACAGTTACAACTTTTTGTTCTGGGAAGCCTTCCTAATATTAAAATAATTATATTTTGCTCAAATAAATCATTACCTCATCAAAATCTCCCCTAACTACATGCACGTCATTTGCTAATGTTTTTAGATAATTAAATGTATCCTGTGTGCAGAGATTACCTAAATTCTCCTAATAAAAATATATAAATTGTAACTACCTGTACATAAAATATGTTGTATTTTTCCTGGGACGAGCAATTTTAAAAATTGATCGGGAAGAGTGTAGGATCTATAAGGAATGTGAAAATCTCCGATTACTAATACTAACTATAAATTTAATATAATAATTATTTGAATAAATAAAAATTACCATATTTGTATGAATATATTGTAGTTTTTCTAAACAAATGATTGGCAACCTGGCACCTCATTACATGTGAACATTCCTTGGGATTATAATTCAACTCAAAGACATTGCATTCATAACTGATTAATTTTAATTTCTATTATATGTATTATTATATTAAAAAATATCATTACTCGTAGAAAAATAAAATTTTACCACCAAATTCATATTATTTTCTACTGTTAATAGTAGTTAAAAGTTACTATTGAAACGAACCAGGTGCGTACGCAGGGGGGGGGGGAGCATGGGGAAAAATCCACCCCCCCCCCAGCCAAAAAATGCAGATGCCGGATTATATTTTTCAAAAAGATTATTGTTAATATTAATTTACATTTCTTAATATTTATTCCTATCTCATATATATATTTAATTATATTTATTTATCACATTCATCTACTAAGTTATTTTATCAATATATTTCGATTTCAAGTTTTCCTTGGCATAAATTACGTATTATTTTCAAATTTTAGTGGCGTATTATTTATCTAAATTTCTAGTCAAATAATAATTATCTCTGAAACTCCTTTTCCAACAGGGAAAAAGAATTTGCAAGCTTGTCCAACGAGATAGTCTCCACCAGAAACAGCTTTAAGGTAGTTAGAAGAGCCGATTATCAATGCTATTACTGAAATATCACAATGGCTTGAAAGAAATATTTACTGAGAAGCTAGAAAATTATTGAATTCAATACCTATTCCAAATTTATTTTCTCATTAGAATGTATTATTTAAATATACAACTATTTTATGTAATACTTTTCATAAACATAACATTGACTTGATTAAGAAGATGAGAATAGCGGAGAGGATTTTATTAGAACTCAAGGAAATAGATCTAATGTTGTTGAAGAATTTCATATTTTATATGTTATTGTTGAGTCAAAAGCAGAGCTATACGTGTTTAATATTTGTCCCCCTCGATTTGCAGCAAAGTAAGCTCATCGACAAAAAATTAATATAGGATCAGTAGAAGAGTTTTAAAAAACAAATGTCCCCTCTCTTAGATATATTTATAACGAATCTAGGAAAATAATTCCCCGGAAATAAAATCCATGGAAAAAAATCCCTGGGAAAATAATTTCCCGGAAGATTACTCCCCTGAAAAAAAATCATCAGGAAAATAATTCCCTGGAAAAATATTCCCCGGAAAATAATTCCAGGTAAATAATTCTCCGGCGGAAAAAAATTCCCTTAGAAAATAATTTTCCGGAAAAAAATTCCCATATAAAATAATTCCCCGGAAAAAATTTCCTCGGAAAAAAATTCCCTATTTTTTAAATCCTATAAAATATTAAATTATTTTTAGAAAATTAACAATAGGAAAAAATATATCCGGAAAAAAAATCCCTAAAATATTTTTTGAGAAAATCGTCAAAAATTTCTGTAAAATTTTTCCAAATAAAAATTTTCAAAATAAAATAGTACTTGTGATTAATATTAAACCTAACAAAAACTTAAATTATTAATTAATACTAATAAATATAATGTATAATGTTATGGACTTATCCCGAACCCAGGTTTAGTGAAAATTAAACAAAGCAATATTTATAAAATAAACGAATTGGATACCTAGTCTCTCTGCTATTATGAAAAATATTATGGCCAGCTCAGATTTTTTATGGCCTGGATTTATAAATTCAAAAATTACCTAGTCTCTGTAATATTAAGCTAAATATTACGTTGTGCCGTACAAGTCTGGGTAGAAAGCAAAACTCCGAGTATAATAATTTTATTTCAATCCAATAAATTTATATAATTTTATAATAATTTAATAATAATCATTTTACAATATTGCGCTTCCCTTTTATAGGGAAGCGCCTAAATACTATTTCATCATGATTCTACAAATCTTAATTTTTATATCTAAAAATAAAATAAAACAAAATATTAAAACGCGGTTTAATAATGACTCCGCACAATTATTTTTTAATTTTCACGCAAATAATATTTTCAAAATTATCAAATCTGTCACTCATTTATGACATTTCCTCCCTTTATCGGACCTCGTTGGCTCCAACAATTGCCTATATTCTTCTTCTCCTACACGTAACACTAGCGTGTCCGGCGCCATTTGTTGATTTGATTGTATTGCTCTGATATCAGAAGATGCGGACGTTGGCTCCAATCGGGTTCGCCCTCCCACCGTATCAAACCGTTCCTTGGGACACCACCGGCGGATATGTCCCGCCATTCCACAAACATAACATATCACCCTGTCTCTTTCTTCACGTACCGTTTCCCTTGAGTGCTCTGATGGTCTTCTCCCCTCCATTGATCTCGTGCCTTCCTGGGCTAAAGCTCTCCATTCACTAGCAAGCGGTTCCATATCCGCACTAATTATCGTATTTCGCATCAAATGAGTACCCAGGTCTACATATCTATATCAAACAATCATTTATCTCCTTCCCTTTTTATTTTATTTTATTTTATTTTTTTCTCTCGCTTCCCCCCTTTTCTCCCTTCCCCTTTCCTCATCACTCTCCTTTCTTATATACATATTAAGCGATTTACTTGTTAATAATAGGCATACCGAAAAAAATTATATTTTCCTCTACCGAAAAAAAATTATGAATTTTACGTTTTCGTCTTCTCTTACTTATTAAAAATTTTCCTTTTTCTCAACACTCTCTTACTCGTAAATCATTCTCCCTTATATTTCAATACCCAATCTCACTAACTTTATTTTCTTCTCTCTTTCTCTCTCTATTTTCGTTAAAAGAATAAAATTTTTATTAATTTTATTATATATATTTTTTTTATCATTTAACCTTAAAAAAAACTGGTAACTCTTACTATTTTCTTTTTTAAAACAACAACAACCAACCATTACCCTCTTTATTAACATCTTATTATTTTATTTTTTTAATTCACTTTTCCTTGCCAACAAAATAAAACATTATAATACAAAAACATTATAATACAAAACACTCAACCCTAACCCCGTTATCTTTTTTTTACTATTACTTTTTAAAAAAAAAATTAATTCTTACTTTTCTCAGTATTTTTCTTTATTTCACATAATCCCATCCCCCTATTCACATTATCCACACCCATTCTATTCCTGCCTCCGCCCCGTTTGCAACAAGAACCTTCAACTATTTCCGCTTCAATATTATTCCGCCGCTTATTCCTTATTCGTTACCGGTTTATTCCACCAAATATATTTAGAAAATTTATTTTACTTAATATACACTTTCAAAACCCTTTTTCCTTTACATTATTTTATTTAACCTAAACTTCCAAAAAAAAATTTTTTTTTCAATAATTTTATTTCTCCTTAATTTATTTTATCTAACACAAACCTTCACCAGAAAAAAAATTTTTTTTTTACTCTCTAATTTAATCTAAACTCCTAATTTTATTAAAAAAATCTTATAATCTTACTCAACAAACTTCACAAGAACACTTTTTTTTTTTAAATATTACCTTTACCATAAATTAAGACAAAGAAAACTTTTATTATTCCATACACTTAACATTTTTTAACATTTTTCTCTAATATTTATTTCAGCTCCACCAAATTTCACAAAAAAAAACAATTCAAAAAAAAAAAATTCCTTTTACTATTTTACTCTAATACATTACAATTTTTCCTTACAATTTGACTTGACCATACTTCAATTTTATTCCCAAAGAAAACATTTCCATTTAAAACCCAAAAAAAAAAATTTCTTGTTACTTAACCAACTTGACCCATATTCCCACCTTATATATACCCCTCTTTATATCATACTTCCCCTTTCCCTTCCCGGGAACGACCACCTGCACCGACACCGTGACCTTGACCTATATTCCTTTTTTTTACTCCGGACCTCTCGTTGACCTCTTGCCCCTGTCACTTTTGCCCCGCCTCCGTTCCTCTGCGTATCTGATCTTCATGTCTCACACCCACCTTGCCATCCTGAAAACGGACCCGACTTAACTTTTTCCCCACCTTTTCCATCACAACTCCGGCTCGCCATTTCTCCTTTTCACCATATATCCTTGCCCACACCGACTGTCCCACCATAAACTTTGCTGGTCCCTCCTCCTCACGTTCTCTCCTCGGACCCTCAGACTCCGGCCTCAGAGCATCTAACCCAATCCTCGTTCTGAACCCTAAAAACTTCTCTGCTGGAGACAAATCCTCTCCCCTCCTACTATTATTATAATAAGCTACCGACGTCCATACTTCTCCTTTCCCATACTTTGCCTTTCGTAACCAATCTTTCACCAACCCAACCATCCGCTCTGCCTGCCCATTGGAGCTTGGGTGGTATGGAGGAGATAAAATATGCTGTATCCTATTTTCTTTGCAAAATTTCGCGAACTCTGCACTCCTAAACGCTGGTCCACCGTCAGACACGATTACTTTAGCCACTCCAAACTTTGCCCACAAATTCTTCAATTTTCTGACCACTACTTGCGTCGTCAACCCTCCTACAACTACCCATTTAGAAAATGCATCAACCACTAGAAAATAATCCTTCTTTTCGTACTCGAAGAAGTCGACATGAACCCTTTCCCATGGCTTCGTTGTTTTCGGCCAAGTCCCTTCTCTATCTCTTGCTGGCATCCTGGCCCAAGTATTGCATACTACACATTGTCTCGCTAGTTCCTCAATCTCCGCATTCATCCTCGGCCACCATACATATTCTCGTCCCCATTGTTTCATACGCTCCATTCCTTGATGACCTGCATGCAACATTGTTAACACCGTTCCTCTCAACTTCCCAGGTATCACTGCCCTATTTCCTCGGACTACGCATTCATCCATCACCGTCAATTCCCCTCCAACATTTTTATAAACTCTATCTCCCTCTTTCCACTGTATCCGGCCCATTATACATTCTTTTATTCGACTCAAATCATATCTTTTTGTGTCTCCCTCCGAATCTCCTCCCATGTTACCGGACCTCCCTTCAACATTCTCGATACCGCCATGACCATCGCTACCTCCTTCTTACACATCTCATCGGCATTACTTTCTTCCACATCCTCCCCTGCTCCGCATCTCATCATTAAATCCGGCAAATAATTTTCTCGGCCTTTACGATATCTCATCTCCAGGTCAAAACTGCCCACCATCAATAAACACTTCTGCAACCTCGGCGACATCATCAACTCCTTGTTATCCTTCCGGAACAAATGAATCAACGGCTTATGATCCGTATAAACCACAAAACGACGCCCAATCAAATACTCACGACACTTAGTCAATCCAAAAATTACCGCTAATGCCTCTTGCTCAATTACCGAATACCTCGTCTCCGCGGCCCTAAAAATCCTTGAGAAAAATAACACCGGTCTCTCCAGCTCTTCCATCCGATGCAATAACGCTCCTCCTACTCCCCTTTGAGACGCATCTACCGCCAATATCACCTCCAGTTCATTATTAAAACACACTAAGACTGGCTCCTTTCCAATTCGGTACTTCAACTCCTCAAACGCCTCCTCCTGTTCATCTCCCCAATCGAATCTCTCCCCCTTTTTCAACAACTGGTACAAAGGCGCAGCTATCTCATCAAAATTCTCTACAAACCTGTGATAATAATTAACCATTCCCAGAAACGACTGTATTTCCGACTTGCATTTCGGCCTCAACATGTTTGCAATACCCACCATATTCTTATCCAACGGTCTAACCTCTACTCCATTAATCCGATGACCCAAATAAACAACCTCCATTACTCCCAACACACTTTTCTCTCTATTCACACGCAATCCCTTCTCCTTGATTCTCCAAAATACCTCCTCCAGCCTCCTATTATGCTCCTCCGGCGTAATTCCCGTTATCAAGACATCATCCATATTAAAATACTCCCTCCAAACCCTGAAAAACGGCCGCCATTGTCCTCTGAAATATGGGTGCCGAAACGCTCAACCCAAACGGCAATCTCTTAAACGCAAATAATCCCTTGGGCGTAGTTATGGTCAGCAACTTCTGCATCTCCTTCCTTACATTCAACTGCAAATACGCATTAGAAAAATCCACCTTCGAAAAATACAAACTCCCCTTCAAATTCGCCAATATTTCCTATATCCTCGGTAACGGATACTTTACTTCAACTACCCACGGATTCAATGTCCATCGGAAATCTGCACATAATCTCAACTTCCCATTAGCCTTTTTCACCGGTACTAAAGGTGTCGCCCACTCGCTATATTCAACCGGACATACAAAATCTTCCTTTACCCATCTATCCATCTACCTTTCGCCTCCATTCAAAAGGTACACGACGTACAGCACACAACTTCGGCACACATCCATCCTTCATCCGAATCTCCACTTCATAACCCTTTAGACAACCCAACTCTTCCCCAAATATTTCTCCATACCTCTCCACTAACTTCTCCACCTCATTTTGAACATCTTTTATTCCCTCTCCACACTCTCACAACTTTTCCACAACTCCCTGTTCTACAAAATTCTCACTCCTCTCACTAACCAGCGGCCCCAATACTCCATATCTACTGTCTTGGATATTTCCTATTTCTCAATCTACTTAAATCAGACCTCTCCCCAACATATCTTCCCTCGCATTTCCTTCGCTTTCCCCCCAAAACATGGATCTTCCCTCGTCTACTTCAAATTGGTCCTCCATCCATTCCAAATTTCCTCCCGACATTCTCTCCTCCTCATTCTCTCGGACCATATTTCTTAAGTCTTCCCGAATATCTTCTTCGATCGCCACAAATACTCCCCATCGCGCAAATACTCCCCAAAATACATACTCCGGCCCCACATTTGTAATCCAATCCTATCCCATCACCGGCTCAACGTCTCGGTTAATTATCCATAAGTCCAACATTTTACATCCTTCTCTCCCTACATCCCCAATATGCACTCTTCCCATCATCTCCATCTCCGATCCATCAAACTGCCTCACTTGCATAACGTCTCTAATTATTTTACTACCCGGCCAAAGTCTTCTAAAATCCTCATATCCTATCACCGAAATAGCTGCTCCGGTACCAAATAACATAGATACCATCTTACCGTTGATATCGAACCATACCCTCGGACTCGGCAGATACGTTAACTCCCTTTGAATCTCCTGCTGCAACATTTTAACTCTCAACTCTTTCTTGCCTCCTCCTAACGCCACGGTCATCATTTTACTCTCCTTCCCATCATATAGTCAATCTTTATTACAATCTCAGGCCCATTGTCGCCTTTCTCGGCATTTGAAACACGTCATCTCCTCTTCAATATCCTTTCCTCCTTTTCCAGCTATCTCCGTCTTACTCCTCATATTCACGGCTCCCGAAGTCTCTCCTCTCTGTGGAAAACCTGACCTTGTTTCTACCTTTCCCACTCGGCAATCCTTTAACACATGTCCAAATCTTCCACAACCCGTGCAACGTATTCTCTCTGCTCTGCCTGGACAATATGTCGAAATATGTCCCATCTCCCCACACGCAAAACATTTGACATCTCTACAATTCACCGCAATATGACCCATCTCCCCACATTTATAACATCTACCATTCCGACCTCTCTGTCCCCTGCTGAACGGCCTCGACATGTCTTGACGTCCACAGTATACGTCCAAATGTCTGTCATCTATCCTCTCGTTCTTTAACCGGTCAATTTCTTCATTATTGACCCAACCCTTCATTATTTCTTGAACCGGTAACCACGTATCTCTCCCCAATCTATCATCCTCTCGATTATGCCCTTCTACCAACAACGATTGCCAACGAATCCTAATACTCCTTTCTCTTTACATTCTCTTTCCAAAATATAAACTACACAACCATATCATCAACACTACCACCGCTCCCAGTACATTATATTGCAACTCCACATACTTTGTAATTTTAAAACTCTTCATTAAAATATTTACGTATTTAAATTTTTCCTAAATTATTTCCCAAGTAACTCAATTTATCAACACTATATTTTATAAAATATTCACAAAAAATTAATTATTAATTTAACCAAAAATATTTTAACTACTTGTAACGTCAGACAATAAGATAAAATCAATAAGGTAAAAACTCCAATAATACACATATACATTTATAAATTTCAAAAAAAAAATCAATACTTTCCGCGAATCTTTAACCTCTTCCGTGTATTGACGTCTATTGAAAAAAAATCGGCAGCACTTCCGTGTAACTTGCTTCTACTAAACATTTTTGGAATTTCTTCTAATAGATTTATTTATATAGGCAAAAATTTGGGCAGCACTTCCGTGTACTTTACGCCTTTTGAAAATTTTCACTTGACGTCACCTCTTTTGACGGTACTTGTTCTTGACGGTCTTGACTTAAACGGTCCCTTATTACACACGGTACTTGTCCTTGACGGTACTTGCTCTTGACGGTTCTTGTTTTCACAAATTGACGGCCTTATCCACCACAGCGCTTCCCAAAAATATTTTCCCAAAAATAATTTATAAAAATAATTGTTTTTACCTTAGTTATTTAGTCACGGCACCAACTATTACGTTGTGCCGTACAAGTCCGGGTAGAAAGAAAAACTCCGAGTATAATAATTTTATTTCAATCCAATAAATTTATATAATTTTATAATAATTTAATAATAATCATTTTACAATATTGCGCTTCCCTTTTATAGGGAAGCGCCTAAATACTATTTCATCATGATTCTACAAATCTTAATTTTTATATCTAAAAATAAAATAAAACAAAATATTAAAACGCGGTTTAATAATGAATCCGCACAATTATTTTTTAATATTCACGCAAATAATATTTTCAAAATTATCGAATCTGTCACTCATTTATGACACTAAATATTATTATAAGTTAAGTAATGATAATGGCCAGCTCTGATTTTTTATTTTGGCCCGGTATAAATTCATATCATTTTTTGAACCGGATCTGCTCTGCACTATTTATATAAATAGAAATGTTTTTTAAAGTCAAATTCCTTCGAGGATTTGAGGTTTTAAATAATAAAACGAAAGTTAAATAAATCTATATCACCTTTACACATTTTCATCAACTTTTAGATATTTATTGAAAATCAAATTTTTACTTTTAAAAAAAGATTATTTTTACACAAATTTTAAACATTTTTTTAGAAATATATTAAAAATTTAAATATCAGTTGGAGATAAGAGGCTTTTCACAATTTATTAACTCTTAAATATCGCCCTTTTTTGTTTTTATAAGGATAAGCTCTTAAATAATATAATTATAAATTCTGTGGCGAAATAGGAAATTTGCAATTCAAGCTGATCCCCTCTATTTGATAAAAATTATTTTACTGAAGTATTTACCTACTTTAAGAATTTAACTGACTGAATACAAAATCAATATAAAACTTGCAAAATTATATTTTTTACTGCCCAATTTTAATTAAATACTGCCAAAAGTAATGAAAAATGCTGCATTTTAATCAAAATACATCCAGAGGTGATTATCAGCAGTGAGTATTATATTTTTCGAATCTAACAAACAATTATTATTTTGCTTATGAATTTTTTTTTAAAATTTACAGAAAAGAAATAATTATAATTTTATTAAATGATATATGGAATAATAAATTATATTATATAAATGAAACAATTCTAGAACGTATATGTTCTCCAATTGAAGAAAGAAAATTAGGCAAGTCCCTTCTCTCTTCTAAAAAATCAATATATAAATTTTTTAAGATATTTTGTTTCGTTGCATATGGCTGATTTTACCCATGTCGACGGCTATTCCATCCTCATTTTTTCGATTAGTTCCTATGTTGTCCTAGTTTTATTGCAATTTTTATAATATTAATTTATTTGTTAATTTAAAATGTCAATCATGAAGATTGCAATGATAGAGAAAAAAAAGGATTTTATGATTATTATTTTTTTTCTCGGGAAAATTTCTTACAATATTATATTTTTATGCTTTTAAAATAAATAAAGAATTAAAGTTTCAGAATATTATTCAGATCCGTTTATCAATTTCAGAATATTATTCAGATTTATTTATCAATTTCAAAGTATTATTCAGATCCGTTTATTCAGTTTTTTTTATTGGTGCCGCAAGACCATTGATCGCGAAACTCTTAGGGATAATAATTCTATGACGAATTCATTCATTATAAAAGAAAATTCTAGAACAGTTTGGATATTCTGGTAAGAATTTTTTTATTTGATTTCATAACACAACGCAATGCTTCATATATTTTTTTAAAAATTTTTGTGTAGAAATAGATAAAATATTAAAATTTTGCAAAAGTAAATTTCTAGATTAATTAGATTTAATAGTTTTTAAATTTTTTTGTAACTAAGACCATTTTTTTTAAAAAAATAATTGTACAGTAAGATAAAATTATATAATGAGATGGGTTTTTTACCTAGTTTTGATTATGAGCCTAATATATTTAATAAAATTTCCAGTTATAAGGATATTAGTTAGCAAATTCTTTATAAGAATGTTAATCAATATGATATAAATAATCTTATAGTGACAATAGTATTATTGATCATAATTTATGGATTATTTATTATTGTGATATTTGTATTAAAAAAATGTATTTTTTGTAGTGACAAAATACGTGAATTGGATGAAAGACGTTGTGGTGTCTGACAATCCGTGTGAGGAGATATCAGTGGAAATTCTCCAAGAAGTGAAAGGAGTGAGAGAATTACTCAATAAGATCTGTTGTGATATAGATTTGAGCAACCAGTGTGAGAAAGACCAGTTGAGTGGTAAAATTGGTTCCAATGAAAAAATTTTTTTTCCAAAGGATAAAAGTATTAGTGAAATTGTGTGCAATCGGTGTGGTTATAAAGGCCATAAAGCCGAGACATGCATAGTAAAAGAATATAATTTTAGAGTGGGTTTCCCATTGAAAAAAACTGCTTTTACAGAGTCCAACGTGAGAAATATTTCAGGTTATAATGTAAACAAATTTGATGCCTTATATTCAAATCAGGATGTATCCCGTGTATGCTATAAATGCAAAACAACGGGACATATAGGTATAAATTGACTATATGATGGCAAATGCAATCGTATATCAGTAAAATTTCCATCAAAATCAAATTTTAAGAAAGTATATAAAAATGGTAAAATGAGATATAATTCGCATAAAATGAATGATTTTAATATAAATTATGTGTATCCTAATGATAAAATAAGAACAAAAAGTTATTTTAATAATTTAAGTAATATAATTGACCATGAATTTAAGTGAAATAAATATCCAAAGGATAGTATTAAAAAATACATAGATATTAATAGAAAGCCTCTGAATTCCGAGTTGAATTTATGCACTTCTGAAATCTTCCAAAGGGAAAAATATCCCCTGGATATTGTTAAGAAAAGTATTAATATTGTTAATAAGCCACTGAATTCCGAGTTGAATTTATGCAATAATTTCGATTATAATAACATTGATATTTCGGATAAGGTAGATATGAATCAACCTATCAAAATTTGCGAAATTTTAATGATTGAGAGATGGGTTGAACCATGTCAGTGTCCTAGGGTTAAATTGAGAATTGACCAGAAGGATATTGATATGTTGTTTGACACAGGAGCGAGCATTTCAATAATGTCTCTAATGTCTCGGGAAAATTTTTATAAATATTGGCCTAATGGCAATATTATAAAGGAAAATATGTGTTTAAAACAATTCGATGGTTCTGAAATTGAAGTTTTGGGTAAAACTCAATGGGATGTCCTTTTCCATGATTCATATATATGTTTGAATTTATGGATAGTGGATAAAAATGTAGAAACTATTATGGGGTGGGATTGGATTATAAAAATCGGGGCCCGTAATAATTATTGGAATTTGTTCATTATTGACAAGGAATTAGCTGAAGATAATTTAGAGAAAAACTTAATAGCCGATAGTGGCAAACCTCTAATTCAAGAAAGAGGAATATTGAAATTATTAAAAGAAGAAAAGAATACTGTTGTTAATAGTAATTTTCTTGAATTTCCTGAAAAATTAAAAATTGATACAAATATCACTCAAATAAATTGTGAAATTGATAAAGATCAATTAAGAAAATTTGAAGAAAATGAATTAATTAAAATTAATCATGATATAAATATGTTAGTAAAAAAATATGAAATAATTTTTGAAGAAATATTAGGACGTTTAAATGATTATAAAGTGGACGTTAAGCTAAAAGATGGGTTTTCACCCATTTTCTTAGCTTGTCGAAGAGTTCCATTTGAATGGAAGACGGAAATAAATGAAGAGTTAGATAAATGGGTATCAGATGGAATTATTATTCCCATTGAATACAGTGAATGGGCTACACCATTGGTGCCAGTTAAAAAAGCAAATGGGAAATTAAGGCTATGTGCTGATTTCCGTGTAACCGTAAATAAATTCGTAGTTGATGTTAAATACCCCTTACCTAGGATGGAGGAAATTTTGGCCAATTTAAAAGGTGCCAAATATTTTTCCAAAGTGGATTTTTCGTCTGCTTATTTGCAGTTACCATTAAAGGAAGAAATTCAAAAATTGTTAACGATAACGACTCCTAAAGGTTTATTTGCCTTTTGTGGATTACCCTTTGGATTAAGTGTGTCAGCGCCGATATTTCAGCGTACCATGGCATCAGTGTTCCAAGGTATGGAAGGAGTCTTTTATTATATGGATGATGTGTTGATTCCTGGTATAACATGGGAACAACATAAT